TTATATCGTTTCAACCCAAAGGAACCTCTAATGGTGTTTGAATTTAACCGCGTTTGTTTTGGTCTAAAGTCGAGCCCATTTCATGCGTTACGCACGGTGAGACAGCTCGCTCACGATGAAGGTCCCTCTTACCCTAAAGCTAAGAGGGCAATTGAGAGCGGTTTATATATGGATGATTTTGTATACTCGGTCGATAGCGTGGAGGAGGCTACCCTAACCACCGCCGAGGTTATAAAGCTCATGAAATCGGGTCAATTCGATCTTGTCAAGTGGACTAGTAATTCGCGTCCGGTTTTAGACACAATCCCACTATCACACCGTCTTTCGGCGATAAAGGAATTCGACGATTCGGATACACACAAGGTGCTCGGTCCGTGCTGGTCACCAGAGTCCGACGTGTTTAGCCTTAAGGTAAATCCGCCCGTAGAGAAATGCACAAAGCGCACAATACTGTCATGCGTTGCTAGATTATGGGATGTCATGGGTTTCGTAGCTCCGGTGGTATTATACGCTAAGCTTTTGATTAAACAATTTTGGTTATTAGAATGCGACTGGGATGACTCGCCGCCTGACAGCACTGTTCGGTTGTGGCAGTGTTTAGAGAGTAACTTCCTTTACTAAGAGAAATTAAAATACCGCGTCATATAAACGTCGATAGAAATAGCGTCATCACGATCGTTGGGTTTGCAGACACCAGCGAGAAGGCTTACCGGGGCGTTGTATATTTCCACGTTCAGAATAATGGTAGAAATTCGATTAGCCTCATTAGTTCTAAGTCGAGAGTCTCCCCCCGTAAGGTTGTCTCTCTGGCGCGCTTAGAGCTTTGCGCAATATTAGTACTCACCAAGCTTATTACCGCAGTTATCAGCGCATGTAGGGATAGAGTTCACATAGAAAGGATATTTGCCTTTTCCGACTCCACCGTCGCCTTATGCTGGGTTCATTCTTCACCCCACCGTTGGGATAAGTTTGTCGCGAACCGAGTGGGCCAAGATCCAAGACTAGTTAGAAACTCAGAACTTTTATCACGTGTCCGGTACGGAAAACCCTGCCGATTGTCTATCCCGTGGACTCACCCCGATGTAAATAAAGGACCACCCGCTTTGGTTCCACGGACCTTCTTGGGTTCACTTGGATCCCTCGCAATGGCCAATAACCGATTTCGAACCTTCGTCAGTGTCACAACCGCCGGAAGAGAAGAGACACGCTCTAGTGGCGAACGTTTCGAACGAGGTTTCTCCAATCATTGCTTTGGCGAACCGCTTGTCCTCCTGGTCGAAATTATTGCGTAGCGTAATTTACGTTTGTCGATTCGCGAAGCTTTTACCGCGACGTTCGTATGTCTTAGCGTCCGATTACAACTATGCCGAGTCGCTAGTATTACGTGAACTTCAACGTGCGCATTTCTCTGAAGAAATTACAAGATTACAATCGAATAGAGCTTGTAGTCGCGCCTTTCAACGCCTTAAGCCATTTTTACAGGATGGGATTGTAAGGGTAGGTGGACGCTTGTCTAACTCGCAGTTGAGTTTCGACCAACGGATCCCTATAGTTTTACCGCGTAAAGACCATATCATGAATTTATTAGTCGATTACCATCATAAATTGAACTCGCACGCTGGCCCCGACTTGCTGATGTCGATCTTGCGTCAGAATTATTGGATTCTTTCTGCACGTAGTTTAATCCGCAATCGGCTGCACAGATGTATAGCTTGCTTTCGGGCACGCCCCAAGCCGTCATTTCCGGAAAAGACGGAACTTAGATCTTGTAGAGTAATACAATCAGTAAAGCCCTTTACGCACACCGGGTCTGATTTCGCTGGTCCGTTTAAGGTCACGCTCACTCGCGGGCGTGGTATAAGATACTTACGTCTGCATTTTCGTATGTCTAACTACTCGAGCGGTGCATATAGAACTCGTTGGTGATCTAAGCACAGCAGGCTTTATGGGTGCATTTAAAAAATTTCTATCCCGCCGTGGCCCTGTAAGTAAATTGTATTCGGATAACGGTACGAACTACGTCGGTGCAAAACGTATTTTATCAGAACTACATGAGCTCTTAGCTAGCAAGTATTATAATTCGGAGTTCGCTCACATTCTAGCCGAGAACCGCATCGAGTGGTCTCTGAACGTCCCAGCCGCGAGTCATTTTGGGGGCAATTGGGAGACTAATATTAAGAGTCTAAAGAGTCACTTATACCGAGTAATAGGAGATCAAATTTTGTCCTTCGAAGAGCTAAGTACGGTGCTCGCTCAAATTGAATGCGCAATGAATAGCCGCCCACTTTGTCGTACGTTGTCTAGTGACCCCTCGGAGCCGCTGGCTCTAACTCCAGCACATTTTTTGAATTTAACGCCTTTAAAGTATTTGCCTGCTGTAGATATGGATGAGAACAGACTTAGCATTTCCGCACGCCACAAATTATTAGACCGGTTAGTGCAATCGTTTTGGAAACGATGGAGGATGGAATACTTGCATACTTTGCAGTCTCGACAAAAATGGAACACAGCAACTGAGCCTTTAGCTGTAGGAACTGTAGTTGTGCTCACCAAAGAGAATGCGCCGCCTCTCCATTGGCCGTTAGGAATTTTCGAAGAGGTCTTTCCCGGTTCCGACGGAGTAATTAGGGTAGCTCGCGTTAAGACCACGGTTGGGTCTTACCTGCGTCCTGTTGTCCGTTTGTGCCCCTTGCCTCTTCCATAATTTAAATTGGCTTTCTAGATTAGAAATTGTAGTTGAATTTAGGTAATCTTAGCGTTAGTTAGTTATTTTGTTAGTTTGATCTTGGCTCTAGTTGTTTTAATTATTTTTTATTTGAAAGAAATCCTTCAAGGGCGGGGGAGATGGTTGCGCGGAAAATCATTCGTATTTATTTTTATTTGACGGTAGGCTTGCCAAATCGTTTATCCCTTTCCAAACGATATCATTCATACCCTCCTATCGACACATCGGGGTGGTGGGGTGGGAGGGGAAATAAGATGATTCTAGAATATTACGCGATCATCGCAACCGAAGGAATAAAAAGGCACGCGCGGCCGACGCGCACTCTCTTCCCGCCGCGCTCGTCGTTGGAACCACACCGCCTCTCTCCCGACGCACCTCTGGGGCCCCAGAGAGTCTACCCAGAGTGTCTTCCAGAAGTTGCAGCAACTTAGTGCCCAAGCCGCATAGAAGCAACACCCCGGTGAGTGAATATTCCTTACTAGTTGCTGCTTGATATAATTGTGTCCGCTCCAATTTATTTTCTCCTAATCAAGCAGGATTCCTTTCATAGATTTGGCAAATAATAGTTCGTTTTAGGGAAGAGCGAGTGCATTGTATGGGAAACCGCGTGCTATAGTCGCCATTTTATGTAAACGTAGAAGCATTTCGCATATACAGTCCACTTTGGTTAATATCTCGCGTAATAAGTTTAAGGTTCGACCGGGGAATTAGACTTCGGTAACCTTAGGCTCGTCGCTCCACCAATTGTTTAAAATATTTTTATTATAACTATATTATTGTTTAAAATATTTTTATTATCTTACAATAGATGTACACACGAATTTTTATCATTGAAACTATAGGTTTATGGTAATTAATGAGTTCTTGCGACAAACGATAATTTTCTATAGTCTGTGTTTATTAAATACTCCAAATTCACGAAAGTTGCTAGCATGACGACGACTCGTATAAATTCAAAGAATACGCTTCTTGCAATAGTTTATTGCAAGAAGCATATTCTTTGATTCTACTGTGTACTGAGCTGCCGTCGTCAGTCGGAAGCAGAGTGATGCCGTGCCGTCGCAGCAAAGCGTCCGCTCCTCCATAATAATTTTATCACCTTGGAGTTGCATCACTCACCAGAGAGCACGACGGTGCGTCCACTCTGCAGCGCGCTTAGCACTGTGCTGCCGTCGTCAGTCGGGAGCAGAGTGATGCCGTGCCGTCGCAGCAAAGCCTCCGCTCCCCCATAATAATTGTATGACCATGGAGTTGCATCACTCACCAGAGAGCACGACGGTGCGTCCACTCTGCAGCGCGCTCAGCACTGTGCTGCCGTCGTCAGTCGGGAGCAGAGTGATGCCGTGCCGTCGCAGCAAAGCCTCCGCTCCCCCATAATAATTGTATGACCTTGGAGTTGCATCACTCACCAGAGAGCACGACGGTGCGTCCACTCTGCAGCGCGCTTAGCATTGTGCTGCCGTCGTGTCGGAAGCAGAGTGATGCCGTGCCGTCGCAGCAAAGCCTCCGCTCCCCCCATAATAATTGTATGAGCTTGGAGTTGCATCACTCACCAGAGAGCACGACGGTGCGTCCACTCTGCAGCGCGCTCAGCACTGTTCTGCCGTCGTCAGTCGGGAGCAGAGTGATGCCGTGCCGTCGCAGCAAAGCCTCCGCTCCCCCATAATAATTGTATGACCTTGGAGTTGCATCACTCACCAGAGAACACGACGGTGCGTCCACTCTGCAGCGCACTCAGTGCACTGCCGTGGTCAGTCGGAAGCAGAGTGATGCCGTGCCGTCGCAGCAAAACCTCCGCTCCCCCATAATAATTGTATGACCTTGGAGTTGCATCACTCACCAGAGAGCACGACGGTGCGTCCACTCTGCAGCGCGCTTAGCACTGTGCTGCCGTCGTCAGTCGGGAGCAGAGTGATGCCGTGCCGTCGCAGCAAAGCCTCCGCTCCCCCATAATAATTGTATGACCTTGGAGTTGCATCACTCACCAGAGAGCACGACGGTGCGTCCACTCTGCAGCGCGCTCAGCACTGTGCTGCCGTCGTCAGTCGGGAGCAGAGTGATGCCGTGCCGTCGCAGCAAAGCCTCCGCTCCCCCATAATAATTGTATGACCATGGAGTTGCATTACTCACCAGAGAGCACGACGGTGCGTCCACTCTGCAGCGCGCTCAGCACTGTGCTGCCGTCGTCAGTCGGGAGCAGAGTGATGCCGTGCCGTCGCAGGAAAGCCTCCGCTCCCCCATAATAATTGTATGACCTTGGAGTTGCATCACTCACCAGAGAGCACGACGGTGCGTCCACTCTGCAGCGCGCTCAGCACTGTGCTGCCGTCGTCAGTCGGGAGCAGAGTAATGCCGTGCCGTCGCAGCAAAGCCTCCGCTCCCCCATTTCGGCCCTACAAATGCCGATCTTTATTAGATTATCCCTGAATACATACAAAATCTGACTTCAGCCAAGTTTTAAAACTTTACAAAGCAAAGATTGTGATGCGTTCTACCGTAAGTCGAAACTGAATAGTGAAACCCAGGGCCTATCAAAAATTTAAATTTCGACTCGATCTCAATCAATCATAACCGTTTAAGACTTCATTATACAATGTTATATTCATTACACAGTAGTTCGTTTACATTTATCTTTAAATAAATAAATTTTATGGCATCTTTCAATTTTTGGAATTATATCATATTTACCGTTTTTTGGTGAAAGAATATCCACACCTCAACCATATTCCCATGGTGTCGTAAGGGGCGACAGAGGTATATAAATCAGGAAATGGACAGCAGCGTCTTCCTCATGACGACTAAAAATAAAAAACTACGGTTGCCAACGCGCTTGCCAAGCATGCCAACTATGGTAAATATGCCCCCTACGAGGCAATCTATACGGAAACCTATGTTCGGCAGTAGACTCTAACGGTGCGGTAACGGTAATTTTATGCAAATACGATTAAAAGGCAAGTTTTTACAAGCGGCGCGGCGCTGTCGTCGCGCCACAAGCGAAACACATCGAAGCCTAAATCACGCTATTGAAGTTCCGAAGTAAAAACAGTATATGTAGAATAGCTCCGTACCAACACAACGGAGCGTTGGCCGCTCCCGGGCACAATGCCTTGCCCGGCGGGAGATCTACACTTTTCCTTTCACGGTCACACTCATCACCCAAGAGGTCGTACCCCATCCAGGATCAGGATTGTAGGCAAACAATTGTATAAAAAGGGTTATTGTAATGTTAAGTAATTTACGGATGATATTTTAAACCCTGGGAATGAGGTTTTTGTTACTTCTAATTCAGCATAAGAGTTACTTTCAATAAGTATTATTTAAAATCTATATCAAATAAAAAGTTTCTATTAGTAACATTAAACTGTTAGACATTAGTAACTCCCGTGAAAGGTAAAAAATTGTAGTATGAGTCGCGTTCAGTAGTAATCACAGTTTGATTTTTGTAAAACAATTATAATTTGGACGCAATTTGTTGTTAATTAACAGCATCAGACATTACTTTACGGAAATCCATTATATTAAAGATCTATTTCAGCAGAGGACGCCTCGTGTAGAAGCGAACCACGTGTCGTATAATTTCAACGGTGATGTGCCTTTCCTAGTGTAATGGTATTGGGAGTAGTGGTGCTGGGATTAGTCGTGACGGGGTGCACGCAATTAAGGGAGGGCGGGAGGTGCCCTTCAAAATAAGTAAGACATATCATTTTCTTTTATTATACGGATCTTAGCGTATTCATTTTAACATCCTTAAAGCAATTTATTGTGATGGCGTATATTAATCATCGCAAACGTCGTAAGGGACTACTTTGGGATATGCGAAAGTAATGCCACAAAGCACGGTCCTGAGCCACTGCATCGATCGACTTCCTACATGTCTTACCAGGTCGTCACTCCATCTAGTGGGGGGTCGCTCTACACTACGCCTACCGGTACGAGGTTGCCACTCGAACCTTTTTTCCCCATCGGTTATCCGTTCTTCGAGCTATTTGGCCGGCCCATTGCCACTTCAGCTTACTTAATCCGTTGGGCTATGTCGGTCACTCTGCTTCTACTGCGGATATCCTCATTTCTAAGTTTATCACGCAGAGAAACCCCGAGCATAGCCATCTCTATAGCTCGCTGAGCGACTTTAAGCGTCCTCATACGGCAGTGAAGGACTACGTTTCAGTTCCATAGGTCAACACTGGCAACATGATATCCTAACTATTTTTTTTTATTTTTTTTAAAAGCTGTAGACAGGCGTAACGAAATCAGTATATCCTCTATCTTATAAGAGAAGCTCATGTCAATCATTTGCACATTAAGGCTAATAAAGAAGATACAATCAAAGATAGGCTATCTGCTGGCAAAAAAATCTGAAAACACTGAGCCGTAACAACAAAGGCATAATAAGAGTCGTTATCAATTATGGGAATATTGGTTAGACATTCACCAACCCATCCAACCAATGTTGCGAATCTAGCGTTGAACCTTAAAGAAAGTTAACCAAATCTCGGAACATACAAAAAGACAATGGGTCTTAACTCGACGGCATTTCATAGGTGAAGAGTTACAACTAATTTTAATAGTGACGGGTTACATATTGAATTTCATTGAAGACAAGTAACCGAATGTATAAACTTTTCATGTGGTAAAAAACTAAGAATGTGCTACGATTATAATGTATTCAGTATTGTAATCAGTAACTCCATCTTGACCTACAGTCATATATTTGTTATGACTGCCTGAGACAGAGTTTACTAAAGCACAAAATTTCACCTTATCCTTCATTTTTATCAGATATTTAAGTCTGTCTACTTTTCAGTTTATCTTTGTGACATAGTGACCATACGACGAATATACATTTTCTGACCAATGTTCGACAAGAAAAACAAAACTATAATTTTTTTCATGTTATAAACCTCTTATTTCATTCCATTCCTCCCATTCCATACATTAATAATTAAAAAAGGAAATGGCCAAAAATTGTATGAACCTGTGCCCTGTACTGTACAGAAATTAAATCTATGTCATTTGAAAGTACAGATCTTCTATATAAAGAATTAGAAAAGTGCATGTACCTACGCAGTAGTGGACAAAAGTTATGAAGATTTAAAAAAGTTGATTTTTGCAGTCGGTTTTTATCATAATTACACAATGTAGATATTAATAAAGTTCCAATTCATGAGTGTTATGTAGGTTAATTTGTTGCATGATGATTAGGATGTATCCTAACCGGTTTAGCTAAAAGAAACAAGGACATGAATATATGGACACAATATGGATGTGAAGGAGGCGAGAGAGGTGTGTCAGGATCGTGCCAAAAGGAAGTCTGTAGTCTCTGCCTACCCCTCTGGGTGACAGGCGTGACTGTTTATTTATATGTATGTATGTAAACAAGGACAGCAGTTTTTTTTTCAGTCTTTGAAATTGTTATTTGTAACTATTTTTTGTAATATAATTATATTAATACTCTTATTGACCGAAGTATATTAGACAGAAAATAATTAAACTTACGTATTACAGCGATCATAATTAATGGAGCACTCGCGTGGCGATACGGCACTTATTAAATAAAAGTAAAATACGATAAAACACAAATACAAAGTAAGAGCGTACATATTTATCATATACCGAGTTACCTAGTGACACTTTGAGACTTTGACTGTTTTGATGCTTGACGGACGGATTCAGTGTTGCAAGTACTAAAGTAAAATAACCCTATCCTATAATGTAGGATATATACACCCTTTAGTGTATTTTGATGTATTAATTAATTAATTGAAGGCTTGTTTTTTACATAACATAAAATAAATAAAGTATTTTTATGAGTTTGGCTATTGTTTTTTTCCCTACTCTGATCTTTTTAAGTATTATATGGCCAAGGTGCTATAGAGTGACGTCAAAGAGAAGAAATCACTTTAAATACTTTTAAACTTGAATATTTTTTAACAGCTGCTATGAAATATTAATATTTATTCAAAATTCTTTTTTTATTTTATTCAAATGAATAGCAATAGTCTTATTTTTGAACAGCTTGGGGCACATTTTCGCCATCTCATTTGATTACCATTAGTCGTTAATTCCCATTGCTAGTAAAATACCGAAAGTATTTTCTCAAAAGAAGCGAAAGAGATATCAAGAGTGTACTACGAATTGAGCCACGAAAATTAAAAAAAAACGTTTTATTCAAAATTTTAAATTACGGGTCCAAACACTGCAACTTCTAAATTTTTTTACGTGGTAATTTTGTACATGGTAGAGCCATGCTGCAGTTATATTAGTAGTATAGTTATAGCACAAATGGATCGGCTCGACCGGGAAAGGACCACGCTCTCACAGAATACCTGCGTAAAATAGTAGCTTAATGCTGCTGGGTTTCGTGTGGTGAGTGTACAAGGCATTCCATCTTAGTCCTCACGGGTGAAAACGTATCTGCATTTTGACTCGTAATCGAGGATAGATGTAGATGTCTATGGGCCACAGCAACCACTTACCATCAGGTGGACTGTGTGCTCGTTCGTCACCCTATCCTATACAAAAAATATTAATTCAAAAACGATCATTAATGAAAAATATTCAATTTTCAATTAGATAGCTCTAATTATAATTTACAAGCAGATTAACGTTAATATACCTCACTTTTCGCCTCTATCCTAATAGTCTTTTCTTGCTGCTGCTGTTTTACTTTTGTTGGATTGATTTCTTGTATTCCTGGAAGTGATTTAATCATATTAACGACTTCAAGAATACCTCCTACATAACTACAGAAAGAAATTTCATAGGTTACTTACGTTGTACGGTTTCGAATTCTTTTAGCTCTGATGTTTCATCCTTTAGTGAATCTAAAAAAACGGTAATTGTTTTATTAAAATATCAATTAATATCTAGTATTTTGTGTTTTTAACTATTTATTTTTTATTATTCATTAACTACTCAGTGTCACATGCGTGTTGTGTAAGAGTATTACCCTATACCTTTCCTTCGGTGTTTGTAAGAACCACGGAAAATGCCAAAAAAAAAAGAAACTTTATTAATAGCTACATAAGAATATACATACGTAAAATATACAAAAAATTACTATAATAATTTCCTATATTGCAGCAACGAAAAGGTCAACCACTCAGTTTATGTCGCGGCAATATTGCTGCAGCGCTGTTATTCAGTCGAAAAAAGATCTTAAAAGACTTCCGATAGATGTATAGATCCGATTCTTCGATTCAGATTTAAGCAGTTCGTTTAGACGTATAACTAAGTAATAATATGCTTTCGTGAAAAAAGTGCAGCTAAACCCTGTGGTTCCCCTATTGTTATCTCATTATCATCATCATCAGCCCTGCGGTAGATCACAACTGAATATAACCCTTTCCCAACATGATACAACACTTAGACCGATATTTCCTCGCCGCTCCAACTAGCCAGGGGGCATTTTACATTGCGTTAACTTGAAATAATACTAGTTTTTACGGAATTCATCGCGTATATTTAACTTTTTAAATACCCGACGTTTCGAACGCTTTACAGCACTCATGGTCACGGGGCGGACTGAGATGTTCAACGTCCAGATGTCATAGATAACCGCGGTTACCCTAGATAAAAATTTAACTTTTGTTGGATTTGTGGATTGGTTTGTGGACAGTTGTAAACCATTTTTTATTAGTCTGAAACTGTTAACACTTCCATGTCTTTATATATATGAGGTAGCCGTCTTTGTTATTACGCATATTTCTTTATTTGAGTGCCTACACAGTAAACGTAATAATCATAAAATATGTTTTTCATCGAACAAAACAGCCCAATTTACAACAGCATATTTTGTATGGCTCCTCGAATTTATAACCATTTACCATTACACATTTTGAGATGTTCCAACATAGATAATTTTAAAATACTATTGAAGCAATTTCTAGTTAATAGGGCATACTACTGTGTGATGAATCTTAGAGCTCCACCATGTCAAGCAAGTTTTGCTTGACAACAAGCTTCGGGTCCCGTGCCAACGTCACAGAGAACGAGTGAAGCCGGCCACAGTCGAGCGTGTACCTGCTGTACTGCCATATGTTAGAGAGAGGAGTCACTGACAAGATTGGCTACATCTTGAAGCGCGCTTCCATCAAAACATACTTCAAGTCGCCGAAGAAGATTGGTCAGTTTTTACCATCAGTCAAGTGTAACGTCCCTCTGCACGGAGTGTACAAGCTTGATTGTGAATGTGGTCTCTCCTACATAGGACAAACTAAAAGATCAATTAAAACCCGCGTTAAAGAACATATAGCTGATGTGAAGAATCGACGCTCCGGGAAGTCTGCAGTCTGTGAACACGTACAGGATCGCCCCCGTCACTACATCAGATTTGATAGACCACAAATCCTCGCTAAAGAACACCGATTCCTTCCAAGGATGATTCGCGTGGCTATTGAAATCAAAAAACATCCTAATTTCAATAGAGAAGATGGCTGGGTGCTACCATCTGCTTGGGATCCTATAATAAATAAAATTAAATCCCAACCCAAGCATACAACTGCAAGACTTCATGATACCATAAGTTCATACTGTGTAGATCCGAACAAAAGTTAAATTTTAATCTATGGCAACCGCGGTTAACTATGACATATGGACGTTGAACATCTCAGTCCCGCTTCTGACCATGAGTGCTGTAAAGCGTTCGAAACGTCGGGTATTTAAAAAATTAAATATACGCGATAAATTCCGTAAAAACTAGTATTATTTCAATGTGTAGTGTTCGCGTAAATATAAGAAATCATTGCGTTAACTTAATTTGAGAAACTTTGTCAGGTCTACTCGTCGCCCATACCGCAAAGCCTGAAGAAGTCTTCATCAGTGGGTCCTGTCTTTATTCACATATGATGCCGAAATGTGGACACTACCGGTACGACTACTCCACAAGCTCAGTTGTGGCGGCGCTGTCGTCGCGCCGCAAGCGAAACACACCGAAGCCTAAATCACGCTATCAATATTCCGAATCATAAACAGTATATATAGAATATCTCCGAACTATCACACGGAGTGTTGGCCGCTCCCCGGGCAGAACACCTTGCCCGGCGGGAGATCTCCCCTTTTGTATCGTCACTCAGAAAGCGATGGAAAGAGCTCTGCTTGGAGTTTGTCTGCTGGAAAAGATTCGGAATAAAAAATCCCCCGGAGAACCCACTAACATGCCTTGCTCAAGCGAAACATAGGCCTCCCCCATAGATTGCCTCCAGCATTTTCTCTGGTAACAATCAATGCCTAGATAAGTTGCCACTCTTGGCATTGATTGTTACTAGGAAAATGCTGCTGGCCACATCCAGCTTCAGATTCGCTCAGTCAACTCTTACGACTTCCGCGGGACGATATTGGGGTATAGTGGATATTCTTACACCGTCACTAGAAGCTCAACGTTAACGTTTAACTGAACACATGTGCATTACTTTAATTGATGTTTAACTGAACACATGTGCATTACTTTATTGATGTTCATGATTATTTAAAATAATTCAAATAAAACGGGTCGTGGTGTCCGTATACAGTCAAGCATGTGTCATGTTGTGTAAAGAAAGTAAGGATCTCTGTAAACTTGGCTAGATGCGTGTTGTGGTGTGTGAAGTCAGTCAAGCTTGTATCGTGTTTTTTTTTTTTGTTTTGGACTCCAGCGATTATTCTTTGCCAGTGTCAAGTTATAAGAAAATATCGTCTAAAATATTTTGTTTCAAAAACTTCTATACAATGTGCCGAAGCAAAAGCGGACTAAAAACTTAATGTTTGAATCAACCTCGGAGCAGTTATTTCGTCCTTGCCACTAATAGTTCACACGCGCAGGCACTTAAGATACAAAATTGCGTCAATTATACGTATCAAAACCCACTTCGAACCATTATTTATACCTGAAAACAGAAGCATCAATCCGCCGGCGGTCAAATTTCCGCCAAAACCTCCCATGTAAGATATATAATATGCTTAAATATAAAAACGATACTCAATTTTAAGATATCGTCGTTAAGTTTCATGCTGTTTCTATCACTTAAAGTCAAAGTAATTATGACATCACGAGACTTAACAGTATTGTTACGAGCTTGAGGTTCGTGACAATAAAAATTGCCGATAAAATTACCTAAATTAACACTTTAATTTACTTTACACAAATTAAAACTTAAAACACTAATAATTAAACACACTAATTTACTTAATTCCGCTCCGAAGCTTCGCTTGTGTCGCCGAGTTCACTCTGACCCGATCGCACCTTGCAGCGCCTACTTATTTAAATTAGCAAATATCCAGAATGTTCAAGCAAACACGCGTAAGGTATCGAGAGTCCGAGTATAGATTTTCTAGAAACTTAGTTTCTTCGGATGGCGCTGTCGGTTGTGATGTCATTCACTGCAAAGCTCCCCTCGCTCTCGTTCCTGACACTAGATGGCGCTAGTGTATCGTCGACTTTAGCGCGTAACACTGCCCCCTCCTAAGACATGCTCGTCCCGAGCATTATCGGCCCCATAATAACGCGCCAGGCGATTCACATGGACGATCTTAGGAGTCCCTCTTGCGCCTTTCTGTAACGGCTCCGCAATGTCAAGGGCTGTCCTATCCCGTGGTGCACCAACATTGTACAATTTCGGTGCTCCTCTACTACGTGTCCGAGGTCCCCGCACGGCCGCACAACTTGTACATGTACGACACCAATCCTCGACATCGTCACGATAATGGACCCAGTAAAACTGTTCTCGGACCTTCAGTAGAGTTCGTTTAACTCCCAGATGGACTCTTGAACGACCATTATGGCACAACTGTAGAACATTCGGCACTTTAGCTTTAGGGACAACCATTTGCAAACGACAGCTGTCTCTTCGACCATTGTCCCGTTTACGGCACAGGACTCCATCCTGAATCAGCAAGCTGTCCCATTGGGCCCAATAGCTTTTCGTGGTTGAACTCATCGCTGAGACGTCCCTCCACTTAGGCTTGGTAGCACGGGCCTTCATCCATCCCAGAATCGGCTTGATGTCCGGATCTTCCTGCTGTGCATGTCGTAGGTTGTCCTTCCATTCGTTGCTGAGGTGGTCCGTCCTGAGCATCCTCACGGATACCACCTCCTTACTCTCTTGCCTACTACAATGGTTGCAATCTTCAGGACAAGGTCTTCTTGACAATGCATCTGCGTTGCCGTGAGATTTCCCGCTGCAGTGTCTGATAGTAAAGTCGTATTCCTGCTGCTGCTGGGCGGTGCTGTTAGCCGCACTTCCTTTCTGAGACCGTTCACCTTCCCTTCCTAGGGTGTGCTTAGGGCAGCTGGACCGAAGATGGCCCCTTTCCCCACAGCCATAGCACCTAGGGCTGTATCTTTTATTGTGGTCGCGAACCGTAACTGCTGTAACCTCCCTAGCGTGAGGTGAACGATGATCCTGTCGCCGCCAGGCAGTGCCGTTAGCTGCACTACCCTCTCGAGATCGATCAACTCTCCTTTCCACGGTTCGTTTAGGGCAGCTGGATCGAAGATGGCCCTTTTCCCCACAGCCATAGCACCTAGGGCTGTATCCTTTGTTGCGGTCGCGAACTGTAGCTGCTGCAACCTCCCTGACGCGATGGGAACGATGATCCTGCCGCACGGCTTCTACCTCTAGTGCATGGGCCAAGGCGTCCTTAAGCGTCTCATGGTGCCCGAGCCTCACAGCAGCTCTGACTTCCAGGTCACGGATGCCGTCGATGAATGTCTGCACCAGGTTCCCTCCAATGAGCGCAGGTACAGACCGGTATGCTTTTCGCACCAGCTTCTCCACCTCTAGAGCCCACTGCTGCAGGTTTTCGTTGATGCGCTGCACGCGATCTTTAAGCTGCGCACGAAAGACGTGTTCCAGGTGAGCGTCGCCATACCTCGCCTCCAATGCCTCAAGGAGTTGCTCATAAGTCACTTCCTCGCCGAGAGCTTCCAGAACTGTTAAGGCCTGGTCGCGCAGGCCTAGTGTGAGAGCAGTCATGGCCTGACTTTTATTCCAGCCGTTCGCCTTCATAACAGCCTCGAACTGGATTTTGTAGGCTGACCAGGAAGAGGTACCGTCGAACGGTGGCACCTTGAACCCACGTAGCGAAGGTGTTGTAGCTACTACGGGAGCTGTTGTTCCATCCCCAAGTTTGAGGTCGTCCAGCGTTTTCTTCACGTCAGCCATTACGTTGTCAACCCGATTGTTTACTTGGTCGATTCGGGTTTCGGCCTCCGACAGGCGGTTGTCATGTTGAGCAACCTTATCCTTCACCTCCCGTATCTCTTTTCCGAAGATAGCGTGAAGGTCCTTCATGAGGAGCATCTGCTCTTCCTTATCGCGTTGGAGTTGCTCTTCTAAACGACGGGCCTGTTCCTCCTGTCGGCGGGCCTGTTCCTCCTGTCCGCCCCGCAGCTGCTCTTCCAATCGGCGGGCCTGTCCCTCCTGTCCGCTCTGCAGCTGCTCTTTCAACTGACGGACCTGTTCCTCCTGTCGGCGAGCCTGCTCCTGCAGCATCACCATCAGAGCACCTAAGTCAGGTGCTGCAGATGTAGGAGCTACCGACGGGCCTTCAGCCGGTGGCTGGCCCTCCGACGTCTGCGGCGTTGCACCACCAAATCTTCTTTGGTCCGTCTCCTGCTGGCGTTGACTTCGGGTACGGACACCCTCCGTTTCCTCCTTAGGTAAAATCGGCATGATTTTATCCCACTTCTGACACCAATTGTTACGAGCTTGAGGTTCGTGACAATAAAAATTGCCGATAAAATTACCTAAATTAACACTTTAATTTACTTTACACAAATTAAAACTTAAAACACTAATAATTAAACACACTAATTTACTTAATTCCGCTCCGAAGCTTCGCTTGTGTCGCCGAGTTCACTCTGACCCGATCGCACCTTGCAGCGCCTACTTATTTAAATTAGCAAATATCCAGAATGTTCAAGCAAACACGCGTAAGGTATCGAGAGTCCGAGTATAGATTTTCTAGAAACTTAGTTTCTTCGGATGGCGCTGTCGGTTGTGATGTCATTCACTGCAAAGCTCCCCTCGCTCTCGTTCCTGACACTAGATGGCGCTAGTGTATCGTCGACTTTAGCGCGTAACAGTATTTTAAAATTGAGTAGCGCTAGCGGTTGAACATTTGGGACATAGCTGTGTGGTGAATGAGGCGTGTGTGATGTAGTTAATGTGTGGCGTGTGCGTGCGTGCGTGCGTGTGTGTACTGACCGTGCTGCGTGTGGGCGGGCAGGTGCTGCGTGTCGGCGGCGCGCTCGTGCTCGTCGAGCAGGCGCACGAGGCGCTGGGCGCAAGCCTGCAGCGCGAGGCAGCGCGGTGTCTTGCGGAACTTGCGGCGTGCGTGCGTGTGTATGTGTGTGTGTACTGACCGTGCTGCGTGTGGGCGGGTAGGTGCTGCGTGTCGGCGGCGCGCTCGTGCTCGTCGAGCAGGCGCACGAGGCGCTGGGCGCAAGCCTGCAGCGCGAGGCAGCGCGGCGTCTTGCGGAACTTGCGGAGTGCGTGCGTGTGTATTTGTGTGTGTACTGACCGTGCTGCGTGTGGGCGGGCAGGTGCTGCGTGTCGGCGGCGCGCTCGTGCTCGTCGAGCAGGCGCACGAGGCGCTGGGCGCAGGCCCGCAGCGCGAGGCAGCGCGGCGTCTTGCGGAACTTGCAGCGCGCGCGCACGTCGGCGCCGCGCCGCAGCAGCTCGCGCGCCACCGCCTCGTGCCCGCGCGCCGCCGCCCAGTGCAGCGGCGTCATGCGCAGCATGTCCCTGCCCGCACACACCCCACGTCACACCACGAGGCATACAGCACAATCTCTCCACATCAACTTATTTGTACGCACATGGTTGCACACCGTGTAGTAGCGGTGTAATAATACTATCCACTAACTCCATATTAACCTGCTGGCGTCGTAATAAGCCCAACAGAGGAAAACATATCTGGAGATGGGCAACAGCATTTGCCTAATAACGATTAAAAATAAAAAAACTGCAGTTGCCAACCCACTCGCCAAGCGTGGCAACTATGGCTAATATCGCCCCTATCAGGCAATCTATAGGGGAGACCTACGTTCAGCAGTGGACTTTAATAACCTGTAACTGAAACGAAAACGCGACACAAAAAAGAAACTAACTTATAAATCGTAATTCCAGAAGATTTAGCCGTAAGGGAGAAATGGCGAATCAAAAAACTTCGCACTTACACTTCATAGATTGCACTACTTTCTCGTTAGTACACTTCGTGCAGTGCGTGGGATCGACATTTCATTGGAACTCCGACGTAAAAATAATAAAAAGTCAGTAAAATCTACCTATATCAATTTGTATGGAGCGTAAACTTTTTAAATGGTTTACATTACATAGTTTGGTGTTAAGACATCATAAAAAAAGTTCTTTTTTTAAGTTAAATGTTCAGTTTACGGCCCAAATTTTGATATATCCGCAAAATGGCGTGTGGGTTGTTTATATCTTTCTACAAATAATGTGTGGCCATCTATCCCGGATGAATAAGAAAGAATGTCATATATGGTCGGTGTGAAATGGTCATATGTGCAATATTGAAATTTATTTTATTACTACTTTCAATGGGTGATTTTATACTAATTATGTTTTAGTAATAATTTACAATACTTTATTTTTATATGCCGAATTATTACTAAAAAAAGCAGTCAGCTCACGAAGGAACTGGACTGAAGATTTTGCAGTCAGCTCACGAAGGAACTGGACTGAAGTTATTTAAGGCGACTATGGACGCTGTTTAAAGGCTAAATAACTATATACAAAAGTTTTTAACGAGGATAGAAAGTCTACACTTGTAAAATAACGACAAAGAAGGACCCTCGGGACCATGTTCTCTATTCGAAGAAGAAAATGAGAAAAAACTCGCTAACCACATTAAAACTATGCAAAAAAATCATTAACAAAGTTAACTAAAAGTAGTGATGAGATAAAAAACCAATAGTATGTGATTCGTCTGATAAATAAAGTGGAAACAGAGAAGTGTACAACTTTGCGGCAGTTAAGACAATTATTATGAAACGCAACTGATCGAAGACTGGCTTCAATTCGTTTTATGCCAACTGTGGCTACTTGAAAATTGCACCGAGTTTGATAATAATTGTTCATTATGTGGACAGAAAAGAATACTGAGCTAAGGCTCAAAACGTTAAGGAAAAGAGTGGTAAAAATGCAGATCACCAACTGGAATCTCTCCTTTGCTAATATGGCAACCTCTTCCGGGCACTATGGGAGAGATGGCCAATCGTGATTTGGAAAAAAAGTTAAATAATGAGACTGATTATTACATTACAATTCAATATTTCTATGTGATATTCCAAGAGCTTAATGTCAAAAGTTTAAAATAAAGTTGTTTTTGGTAATTTTGTCTTTATAGTTTTAATTTAACTGGCTTCTTAAAAAAACTATAGCAAACTCCCCCGGACTTACCCTATAAGACTTAGTTGAGAGAGAATAAGACAGAATACAGTATACAGATTTTCCTATTGTGTATAGAAATTATACTTACTATAGTGAAATTAAAAACACCTGTATATATCTGTATATTATTTAATGTAATACAATTAGAGTAAATATTAAAATAATGGTAAAACATGGCAACAATATTGTAATAAATAAGTCCTACAATTATCCCACTCATGATATTCTGCATTTATCTCATTTTATTGAGTTCTGCACATCTTTTTTTGTGAGCAGGGACATACGGCGTTATGGGCAGCATGTCCCAGCTCACGCCTACGTTAGAAACGAAATATACAAAACAATCTCGATAAGAGTTTTCATTGCTTTCGAATCCCGCACGGAACAAGTGTTTGTATGGACTACAAATAATTGTCCCGGGTCTGGACGTTTGTCCTTGTGCAACTTATGTGTATAAAACTACCTCCGTGATACAATATAAGAGTGTGAAGGTATCGTTTTAAATAAAATTACTAACTATAACTAAAACGGAGATCCCGAGACCCCTTGTATACGCTGATGACGACCAGCATGGTCGGTAGGAGTCCGGCATAAACTTTTCGTTGCCCCCACAACGGAAGGATTTCTCATGAGATGAGGATTTCCTCACGATAAAAAATGCTATAACTAACTAAATACAAAACCAACAGGCAGTAAAGTAACTGACCTGCAATCGACATTGGCCCCATGCTCAAGAAGTAAACGCACGACTCGCGCATGTCCCGCATGTGCCGCCAAATGCAACGGCGTGCGCTCAACTTTTGTTCGCGCATCACGTGATACACCTGCACGTAGCAGCACCGCGCAAGTTTCCACGTGCGCATTGGCTGCAGCAAGGTGTAGTGGTGACGTGCCCAACTGCAATGCCCCAACATCCACTTATAAATTTACAATTACAAAATACAAATACAAAGAGAAATAACAAAAAATATAGTACATAGGCATAGAAGAATTATGTACACCGCGAACAAAATCTGTGCGGCAGTACGGGGCGTGTGGAAGGAGGGATAGAGTACCATATTACTTGTATTATGGCACAGACTAAGTTGAACCCGTGGGCTCTAATGCGTAATTCAAACGATTGTCTTTTCGACTCTTCGAGTACGTTGTACACTACTACATATATTACCTTAACTTCAATATATACAGGCGTATGATGACAGCGTAAAGCAAGATGCAATGGTGACGTGTCCCACTGCAGTGTCCTAACATTCACTTGTACATTGGCAATTACAAAATACATAAACAAATTTAGAGATAAGAGAAAATATAGTACAGTCGGGTGATGGCGGTCTAAGTAAATATATACATCTAAACAAACATTTAATTTTTTTATAGATTAGAAATGATAAATGAGCATACAGTCTACCTGATGATAAGTAGATGCTGTGGCCTATAGGCACCAACATATATCTTTACTCAAGAATCTAAATGCAGATGCGTTGTGACTTTTGAGGTAAGGGTCTCCGGTACTCGACACTTATCATACGAGCAATTTAGGATTAAACAGCTACTTTACGCTGGAATTCTGTGACAGTGTGATCCTTCTCGGTCGAGCCATTCGTGCTACAACCATAATAGCTGCAGCGTGCCTCTACTATGTATAAATATTCTTGACACTCGTCATCATTACAGCTCTTCACAAGTCCACCGCGGAACAAAGGTCTTCCCCAAGAAATGTCACAAAGCACGCTCCTAAACCACTTACATCCATCTACTGCTTGCCTTTTTACCAGGTTGCCACTAGAGAACTTTTCTCCCTCATCGTTTGTCGATCCTTCGGATTTTACCGCGTATATTTATTTACTTTATATTCCCGACGTTTCGGGTACTTTACCACACCCGTGGTTACGGGTTAGGTTATAGTTACCCATGGCTATCATCAGATTACAATTACTAAATTCTTGGTCCCATTAAAATAGAATTAACTTATAGTATCTTGAAGTCTTGCAGTTGGGTTTGAATATAATTTATTATTATACTTATTTATTAATTATAGGATCCCGAGCCGATGATAGCACCTAGCCATCTTCTCTATTGAAATTAGGATGTTTTTTTAATTTCAGCCTCGTCATCCTTGGAAGAAATCGGTGTTCTTTAGCGAGAATTTATGATCTATCAAATCTGAATTTTCATATATAAATAAAACATAAAACAACAAGCACTTAATAACAAGAATAGTTTAACTTACAACTAAACTAATAAGCATACCTGGATAAGGATAAGTTTAAAAAGTAGAAAAGCAAATGTTACGCACCCAGTCGGTGGTGAAGGGCGCGCCTTTAGCCATGAGGTCGAGCACGGCTTGCGTGTCGCCAGCGCGCGCGGCCAGCAGCAGGTGGCGGCCGAGCTCCGCGCCGCCCGCCCCCGCGCCCGCGCCCCGCGACGCCGGAACCACCCCCACCCCCGCCGCCGACACGCTCTCCGCCTGACAACATCGACTACCCCGTGATTAAGCAGTCAATAGATAGCAGACCACTGCTATAGTGTATAGGCTTTTCAAGAATTAGAAACCTAGCAAGTATACTCCCAAAATACCAGCATAAAATAGCAGCTCAACGCTGCTGTGTTTCGTATGTTAAGTGTAGAGAACCGGAGACCCGTTTTACTGGAAACGAGGCATTCTATCGTAGTCATCAGGGGTGACAACGCATACGCTTTTTGATTCTCAATCGGGGTCAAAGAAAGATGTCTATACATAGAATAAAGTAGACATACGAGCACACAATCAAATTCTTCACAATCAAGGTTAGGTTTGTTGACTACTTACAATTGTTAACGCAAATAGAAAACTAAAAAATAGGCTATTTTCAATTATTCTATTATATAAGGTTAAATTACCTAACAATAGTAATTTTAATATTTTTTTTTGAATTAAATTATATTCAGTTTCTTTTCAAGTGACTGCTTCTTAGGACTTTATTCAGGCTAATATCTGTATGTCCATTATCATCATTATCATCATTACAGCCTCTCACAAGTCCACTGTATATAGACCTCCCCCAAGGAATACCACATAGTCCTGAGTCAGGTGGCTCTATTGAATTCCTGCATAATATCTCTCATGGAGGGATTTGTGTCACAGCAGCGATAAGCAGGTTGGCAGCAGTAGTCTGATATATATTTACATAACATCATTACGTAAACAATGCTGCTGAGGCCAATATAGGCAGAGTTATGTTAGAGTGCTTCACCATCTTCGGCTGCATCATCACTTACTAACAGTAGTAGTAAAGCTCTGACTTAGTTATAAATTAGTTTTATTTTATTTCATTTCAAAATCTATTTTCTTAAAATTGGTATCATATCAAGTGTATATTGGTCAAGCCATGCACTTTAAAGCTAGCCCAACATTATATCATCTTTGTCTTAAGGTTAAAATTTACCACTCTATAGGGTAAATATTGGTCAAAAATAAAAAACACAATAACTTAAGTAATTTTAGATAGTATTAAACAAGTTGAACGGTTTAAAGGTACTGCTAGGAACTTACCGTTATAATTTGCGGTGAAGTGACATGCACAACTACATCATCTGTACACAGGTCTGTTGTCATCTTGGACCATCTGTAACCTAATATACTAAGAAATTGTAAGAAGTAATATTTTATATTTTCTTTACTGTTACAGCCTATTAAAGTCTACTGCTGAACACAGGCTTCCCCCATAGATTGCCTCATATGGGAGATATTTGCCATAGTTGCCACGCTTGGCAAGCAGGCTGGCAACTGCGATTTTTTTTAATTTTTATTCCTCATTAGGAAGACACTGCCGCCTACCTCCTGAATTGTATTCCTCTGTGGCCTCTTACGACACCCATGGGATGATATGTTATTTATTTTGTATAGTGTTAATGAAAAAAGAAATATTAATATTTTTCTTTACTATGTACTAACAATCTTAATAATTTATATCTTTACATTGACAATACCATTGTAAATGTGAAGGTATAAATGGAAATATTTAGGTCTAACAATTACATTTATAGAGATAACAGATGTGTATTGTTAATAAACTATAAATTAAACAAAACTATCTAAGTATTGATTTTTCATCCAAATATGCAATATTTTTTACCATAGATAAAAAAAACTAAAATTTAAATTCTTATTTTCTTACAAATTTGAAATATAGTGAATAGCGTAATAATAGTTAGTGAATAATGTGTGTTTTTAGAACTTAACTGTTCATATAAAGTATAAACTTAATTTTTTTAAACATTAAAAAGTAAAAATTAACCAAATAAATTTTAATAAATTTGTTTAGGTGAAATTTATAAGCCCTTAAGCCCCTTGTTTATAAAGTTCTATAAGTAAATTTTACAAATGTTTGTCATACAAATAAAAAGTTTTTAATACTTTATTTATCTGATATAGGTTTACTTGCAGAACTATTTATTAAAACATTTAAAATGATAAAAGAATGAAAAGATATTAAGGTGTGGTAAGGCATTTTTTAATATTTATATTGCATGGAAGTTTTATGTACTTTAATACGATTGACATTTACATGGTTCTAATATGAGCAAAAAGATGTAGATAGAAGTTAAAATATTTCATTTCGCGGTTTCTTCATATTGATAATAAATCTCAGACAGGATAAGGATGTAGAGATCAGCACCATAACCATACCTTTTTTGATCACCAACACATACTTCCTTTTCCTGTCTTGACGGAAGTTGTTCAGAGATAGGTTTTCACTTAACTTTGTTAGTAAAATTAATTTGAAATTAGTTATTCAACATCAAATAATTACACTGAACTTCACTTGTGATGGTTTTAATGATAAATTATTATAAATATAAGTGAAAACGTCAACAGATGAACATGACGGTCACACTTTGATACCGCCAAAATAGCTGTCAATTCCACGGTATAAAGACATCAAAGGGTAAAATTTTGCTACTTTACTATACCCATTAGTTTTTGATTAGGCAAAAAACTAAACTCGTTCTTTAAAATATATAATACATATGAATTAATTATCATAGTTTTGTATGTTAGGTTATTTAAAATTTATTTTTGTCATTGTGTTGGTAGTATAGCATATAGGGATGTAAATTTATCGATTTTTTGGTACAAGACAATCGACTCTCAACCGATCTTAAACAATAAAAATTCAACTTTATAACTATTATTTATTAATTGAACGTACCCTAACACAAACGCCGTGTAGCGGCGGCTAAGGATGTCCACTACCTAGACGGGGGCGTTATTTCACGTCACTAGATACAATAACTGGCTACGCGGCATGTAACCGAATCACAAGTTTCGAGTCATATTACAACTAGTGATTTTTGTAAATGCGTTACTTATTACTGTTAACTGTGATTGTTGCGAGAGTCGACTGTCGGTCGGTCGAGCGCAAAGCGCACATGTGGCATACAACTATAAACAAAACAGCTTATGTAACAGTATTATTGTATGTTTAATTTTTATAATTAAGACTTCTTATTAGTTTGTGCGTAAGACTATATAAATAGACCATAAATAGTGATCTTCGTATTGTGTAATAATTTCAAAGGTTTGCGATGCCGGGAAGCGAGAGTCAAATTGAATTTAAGTAAAATAATTTAGTTTATTTTAGTTCATCCTTGTACTTGTGTATAATGTTGTATACTCCCTTATAAAAATTAACATTTACCTATATGTTATTTAGGTGTTTTATTTACATTTACTGTAACATTTCTTTGTTATTATATAAATATAATTATTGTGAAAAACGTTGAGAACGTGTAAATAAACTGTAAATATCAATAATCATTATATATACAATCAAATTGACGTGTAAATATGCCTGCATAAATAATTTTATAAGAATCTTAGTTTCATAGTAAATACAAATCAATCATAAATACATTTAATGCAGTCAGTCCTAAGCCTGAATAAAGTATTAAGGGAAGTTAATTTATTCTTTTCAGTTAAATGTAGTAAACACAGATAGTGATTAAATTTATTTTCGTTTCGTGTGTAACTGTATAATAGTTGGTGGTGATATTTATGCAAACAATCACAGTAGCCGAATAAAAATAGCCAGTTACAAAAATCGCTAGTTTTGAAACAGGTGACGCAGAACAAGTCACTGGTTTCGTTACGTTTCTTGAAAATGGCGTTACGACCCACGTCTACCACTACCCCATATCTTCGCGTGGGTGTCGTAAAAGGCGACAAAGTAAAAGTTGTACAACAAAATAACTACGGTTGCCAGCCCGCTCTCCAAGCATGGCAATAATGGCAATATAGGGTAGGGTATATTGATGATGAGCAACAACACAAACAAACGACCCCCAGTCTCCGGCCGCTTCGCTATTCCTGGCTACAGTGGCAACCATGGTAACGGCGGGACAGGGGGTGGCTCTAAGTATCTCCAGTGGAGGTTTGGTTGCCATCTAAAACGACTCGACCAGGCAACATTTAACGCACGCACCCTACGGACTGACCAGACGATTATGGAACTGTAAGAAGAGATAGACAAGTTAGGCTAGGATATTATAGGATTATCTGAGGTTCGAAGAGTAGAGGAGAACTCGGTAATCTTTAAATCAGGCAACAAGTTCTATCACCTAGAGGGCGACCATCTGTCGCAAGGTTGTGTCGGATTTATAATCCACAAGTCTCTCGTTAACAACGTTGTAAAGATTGTGAGTGTGTCGACAAGGGTTGCGTACCTTATACTCAGAATCACCAAACGGTGTTCGTTGAAGGTCATACAGGTTTACACACCAACTTCGGCACATCCCAATAAGGAAGTAGAGGAAATTTATGAGGATATCTCTAAAGCCATGCATTCCTCCATACGGTATAAATAGAGACTTCAACGCTAAACTAGGCGCAAGAGAAAACGGTAAGCTAAAGGTAGGTAAATTCGGAAACTGGGCAACGGAATCCAAGTGGCCAGCAGCTGGCTGACTTCATCGAGGAACAGGGACTCTTTATGATGAACTTTTTCTGACCTTGAGCCCCGACGGTTCGACAAAAAATTAGATTGCCTTCATTATGACGGGTAAACGGCAACTGTTCAGTGATGTCTCAGTGATCGCAAGGGTGAAACTGGCAACGAACACCGAGTGGCTAGAGGCCACTGACTATATATATATACAATATGTAACGTAATTAACGAACACCCTCAGACTACCCAATTAGTATATTATTTTATAATCATAATACATACACTGAATTTTTAGTTAAACATTTTTATGCACTGATTATTTATCAAATTATTTATACTCATTCCGGAACAATGTTGTGGTCAAATTACAAATCCACGAACGCGAAAACTTTAACGTGCTTGAAATAAAGTTCATTTTTCTTTATTTTTTTCATTTCAGTTTGTTTTGACTGTACAGATTTAGTGTGACTGTAATTTACGTAGTCTTAATTATTTTTGGGATAAAAAATTACCTATATTAAAAATGATAGGAATCGATTCAGTAAACGATTCTGAACAAACTACTTTCTCAAAGTGCGTTAATTATTATGTTACGTGTTGTATATATTGGGGCGATTTGATTTGCGCCATTTTGGCACTGTCAGCAAAAGTAAACGTCCACGAAACTAATAATAAAAATAGGACAATGTGACAAAATATATCGATAAAAATTGCCACTTCAGCTTTGCTTATCCATTGGGCGATGTCGGTCACTCTGGTTCTACTTCGGATATCCTCTTTCCTAAGTTTATCATACGGTGAAAGCATAGCCCTCTGCATAGTCGCTGAGCGACTTTGAGCTACTTCATACGGTCAGCAGTAAAGGACCACGTCTGAAGATAGTCAAGTGGTGCATGGCAAATCGCCATAACAACACTCCTTCCTTCCCACTCACTTCCCCTGTGACACTACCTCGACTGCAGCGGTACAGGAAGAGGAATCTCCTCTAGCCGCAGGTCACTAACACACATCTAATGGCTCGACCAGCCATTTTAGGTAGCGGTTATGCAAGACCCGTCGCAGATGTACACAAAAAATCCTCCGATCACACTCTTAATCACATAGCTGTTAGACGGGAAACGAAGCTGTAGCTTTTAATAGATTTGACAGCATACAGGTAACTGAACAGACAGCAAATGCATGCGGCAAGACTTACGCAACTTTAATACTAATAAAATCGATTCTTTTTTTAATAAAATCATCATAAAATAGATTTATATCAAAGAGAACTTTACAAAACACAACAATAAAACAAAAGTCATACATAATAGATAACGAAAAAGAAGAATATTTTATTAAATTTTAATCGCAGGGAGTAATAATCACTATCACAAATACATTATTCTTACCATAGATTTGGTATAAACTCTATAAACTCCTAGAGTTTATACTATATTAAATTATATGATTCTTACCATATTAAAGCATTGAAATTAATCTTTATAATTTTGACACAGCTCAAGCCTATGAAGTTTCGTATTTTTTTAGATAAACTGTAAACTGTCTTGCAGATATTGTTTTACATCATGGATGGGTACCACCTACTTAACAAACAACCACAAACTATCACAAATCGGTTTTGAAATAAATCGAATATATAAAAATCTCATGAATATGTATTAGAATTGGT